TAAATGACCAATAGCTAACCCTAGGCAGACTAGAACATCTTCTACCCTACGAACACAGTGGGACTGTAGCTGTGGGGCCCACATCAGTGTTCTCTACATAGTCTTTGTTTTGTAAACATAAAAATGTTAAGCCTATCTTGGGGTAGGGAATTACAACCTTTGTTTTCCAAAGAAAGAGTGCAATCCTGACTATTTGATTCTCCCTTTTTTTGTGGAAACTTCATACCAGAACTGCATTGATCGGAAGGAAGCTTAAATTTACTTCTCCATTGTCTTCTTTTATTTATTCCTTTTTTTCTCTATTATATATACCATCAGCCAAATGTTTATGATTCCATCACAAATATTAAGCAATAGCGTATTGTTTCAAATAATTAAAAAGGGGAGCCTAGTGCATGAGGCTCTCACCAATGCAAGGTCTAGGGAGGGACAAATGTATGTAGCCTTACCTAGGGGGATATAAACTGAGCTTTTCACAAGCTATTCGAGCTAGGCTCATGGAAAGCTTGATTTGGCTCAGTTTAAGCTGAGCTCAAGCCCAATATGTAGGCTCGTTTGCTAATTGAGCCGAGCTCGAGCCTAATGAAGCTCTGCTTGTGAGCCTAATCAAGATTATATAATATATAATATTTTAAATTATATAATAACAAATAATTTTTTATTTTTTATATGAAGTTTGGCTCACCATCGAACTTGGGCTGAGTCGAGATTGAACATACGAGCTTTTGAGTTGAGCCAAATTTGAACTTTTGTCTCTAGCTTGAATCGAGCTCAAGCCTGAATTCAAGCCTGATGTTTTTATGCCTAGCTGAACTCGAATAGCCAGTTATTTGGCTTGGTTTGGGTTGAATCTACCCCTAGCCTTACCCCTAGATATACACAGAGAGTTTGTTTCCAAGATTTGAACCTTGGTCACCCAGGTCGCAATGGAGCAACCTAACTGTTGTGCCAAGGCCCACCCTCTTGTGGGTGACTAGGACGACTACTTGTTAATCCCTAGTTGATAGTCATCTTAAGAGGTTGTACCATGAGCACCAACTGACTTGTTGGTGATGCAGTTAGTCTGGCCCTCAACTAACTAGTTGGTCAACTAGTTATTAGCTAGTTGACACTTTGATAACACTATCATATGAAACAATGTGATGATCTCTTTCAACTTCAAAGAAAATTATTGAAATTTGTGCTTCACTACTTTTCTGTCATTTGAAGGGTTAGAGACTCTTCTTGGTGGTAAGACTCCATCCCCTCTACATCTCTTGGCTGGTCAGACTTAGCTAGCCCAAAGATTGGAAATTTGGTACTGATAACATACCGGTTATTCATTATCTTTACATCTTCTTGTACCTTGGGAGCCCTTCCTTTCATATGTCTGATTCACTCTAGTGAGTAGAGAGGCCCCCTACATTTCTCAGATCTCCCATGGCATGATACTTTTCCCACAACCATCTATCTACAAGCTTTACTGTCTAAAATGCTCAATACATCTTCACTATCTCCATTAGGTGTTAATACATCTCCAAACACCCTACCCAACCCCACAAAGAGAAAAAAAGGAAAAACTGTCATGAGCTTGCTTTCGTTGAGAACTATATTTGATCAACACCAGTTTGAGTTTGTGCTCATCTACAATCTTACCGAGGAAATTTTTTGTTGAAAAGGTAAGTTACTAAAGCTTCTCTTCCTTGACTATGGCTGGAGAAATATTTGCATCATATAAATCAGTCTTGTGAAGGTCAATATAAATAGGTCTTAGTTAAGAAGAATAAGTTTACCTTTTGGTTTTAGATGCAGTGTTGTGAATAGCATGCAATATGTACAGCATGTATTTTTCAAGCATAAATATCGGGTACAATATATAATTAAGAAAATATCCGGTATACATAATTTACAGCATTGATCTTTCAAATCCAGATGATTGTTCTTCGGTTTAGCTGATTTTCTTGACCAAAAAATCCCTCTAGGAGTTAGACCCTGTCCAATTAATGTTTCTATGGATGTAGAGCGGAACAGTGGATTGATGTGTTGTGATGTTGTAGATAGCATATTAGCATATAAGTTGGCACTACCCATGGTAGCCTGGTAAAATGTGCAGGCTGTGGTTACTGTTTTGCTCTCTCATCATCATCGTCATCTTTTTTGTTTTATAGATGGTTGTGTTCATACTGAAGAGTGTCAAATTAATCCTTGATTTTACATGAAGTTTTCTGCATTTCCTTTCCTGATAAGTATGAGTCTTTTTTTTTCTGGTAGTAGAATAAAAAGGCAATTTATTAAGAAAAAAAGGAAAAGAAAAAGTACAATGGAGGTGATAAGGAATCACCCACAAAGAAAAAAGAAGGAACCCAAGAACAGCACAAACTTCTGAGCCCAAGCAAAAACAGCTTTAATTTTAATCCTCGGACAATAACCCCCACTTGCTTCCAAAGCATGCAACCCTCAACAAAAACAGAACAAAAAAAAAAAAAAGAAAGAAAAAACCCAACCAACAGAGAAACCTAAACAAAAACCTCAAAACTAACAATACTCCGAGTTAGGACATTTCAACAATGATTGGGTACTGAAGCTCTAATTCCCAAAACATTTTCCTAGTGTAGTCTTCCCCTCCTAGAACCAATAAGCCCATTTTTTTGCTGACTTGGCGGCCAGTTTCGATCACCTTGTCCACATCCACTTTTTTCTCAATTTTTTGAACTCTATCAAACTCCACTCCTTCCTCTTCAGCTTCATCAATTTCCTCCTCTGAGCTATCCGCTTCCCCCAACAAAACCCCTTCTTTTGCCAGGGATTTTTCAGTAAAATCTACTGGCCTAACTCCTTTATCACCACAAACTGGAAATTGGTTTGAAAGGTTCTCAGCAATAGAATCTTTAAGCAAGCAAGTTTTGTTTTTAAATTTTTTTCCCTTCTGTACACTCTTGAATTTGCTACTTGGGCCTATCATTTTGAGTCCATCTTTCAACCTAGAGAAGATCTTGGTAATGTTAATTAGATGCCCCATATTCGTGCTCTTCATCTTCTTGGCATTCCCTGAGGATTTCGAAAAGGAATCACAGTCTCAACATCCCATCTTTTCCTGTTCCCTGCTTCTTCCTACCAAGATCTTTTCCCAATTTCTCCATTAGAACTTCTGATAAAAAAAACCTCTTTCACCTCAGGAAACTTATCAACTTGATCACTTACAATATCCTCTTCAGCAGTAACTGACCTCAAAACTGAAGTCAGAGGAACATCCAAAACAGAGACCTCATCTAACTGCTGCGAACTAATTCTGTTCCTAATATCCTGAGCTTCTGCCACTTTCTCTCCTTCAATCATAGACAGGGGAATAGCAGACTTTACCTCTCCAAAGCAAACAACCTGAAGGTGCTCTTGCTCCACCCCTTTCGGCGCTGTTAGAGTCTCCTGGCTTTTTTCTTGGCTGCTGTTAACATCCACAACCTCCGAATCAGTAGAAAGCAAACTCTCCAATGCTTTGTCTTCTTGATAAGGTCCAACTTGCAGAGGAGAACTTTCCTGTCCAGGACTCTGAACGAATGAACTATTTTCCTAGTTGAACTTTGTTATCACCCATTCCCAAGTATCATCATCATTCCTGCTCTTCGTCTGAGCAGCTTTCCTAAATTTCTTTGTCTAATAAGTATAAGTCTATATCCTGCTATTCACCAGACACACATCTTTCTAGTTTGAGGTGGAAGGTCCTTACTGAATATGCATATGAGTTTTTTAACTAGGTGCTCTCAGCTTTATCTCTCAATTATAATTTTCAGACTAATCAAAAACTTTTATGCTAATCCATCTGCAGGTTTACTATATGGTTGACTTCAACAACAATGGTCAATTGCTTAATTTCTCAGGATGTGGTAATTTTCTCTATCTTCCATGAATTCTTTATCTTCTAAGTTTGTTACAACTTAAAATACCTCTTACTTGCAATTCTTGAAAACATAATCATGTATTTTCTTCACTTTAGGCTTGTCGTTTTCTTTTTGATGAGTTATTAGTGTGTGTTAAGAAAGGAAAGAAGCTATAAAACTTAAAGACACTTCACTTTAGACTTCTCATTTACACTAATTTTTGCTAAAGGACCTACAGTATCATAAATAGGGTTACTTGTGAAGGCCTGTTTGAGCATATAATGCAATCTATTGTTGGAACTAGTTTACCTTTTATGGCCTTTTTCCTATTAATTCTCCCTATAAATCCTTAAAATGGAGCACTATTGTGTTTTCCCTTGTTAATAAGAAGACAAAAGATATGCTATAGGAAATGATTTAAAAGGTGCACCTGGGTGCATAGGAAAGGTGCATTTCAGCCCAGCCTGGTGCGCCTGGTATGCCTTGTGTTGAGTTTTTGGGCTGATATTACTTGTTTTATTTACATAGCATAGTTAGGGAGTTATTGGGCCTTAGGCCCATTAGTTTATGTTTTAAGTTAAGAGTGCTTATTCAGTTCTTACAAGTAGCCGACTTACCAAGGGCATACTTGTCTTTGTAATCTCTTTTATTTGTGAGTATATAATCTAATGAAAGGGGTGGCCAGACTTAATTTTTGGCTTCTCCCATTCTCTTCAATCTCTCTCCTCTTTCTTTCTTTGCAGAAACCTTCTATTCTCTTTCTTTTCTTCTTTATTTTACAGTTTTTACATCAAAACAGGTGTTCCAAACTTTTCTACTCCTTGCTCCTCTTCCCAGGAGTGCACCTGAGTGAAATTTTGCACTTTTTGTGTTTTTTGAAGCATGGTGGCAGAGCCCCTGGACCCTTGACCGAGCCCCTTGAGGCAAACCCCGACAAGTCCATGTTAGGGTCTTAAATTCTTAACACATACATGGAAAATAGTTTTTAATTTTAATTGATGTTCCTTATCTCTTAAAAATTGTCTTAAGAAGAATGAATTGACAATATAAGCAAAAGGAGAGGGTTCTCGGAGCGTCGGCGAGTGAGCTGGAGTGGAATGTATAGCTGGTAGAATTAGAGGAATGTGATTAGGAAGGAAATAAATAGATTGAAAGTCCATGTGCTTGAATTGTTTGAATATGTTTTATACATTATGTTTAATTTTATGTTTTCCAGTTTTTCACTTTCGATATGTTTTATATGTCATGTTTATGTATTTTAATTTGATCTAATAGGATTTTTAAAACATTTAGTTTTAAATTTAAGTATACTTTTTAATTAATATTATTATTTTTTTAATTTTCCTTTCTTTTGAATTTCTATACATTTTTTTTGAAAACTTTGTGCTTTATTTCAAAAGGGCGTGCGCCTCACCTTGTGCCTTTCGGCTTGGGTGCAAAAATGCCCTTGTGTTTCTTTTGCGCCTTGTGCTTTTAAAACATTGGCTATAGGGATTTATCTTTCAAGTGAAATCAGTTAATTTCTTTATAATTTGGGCATTGAATATGTGGACTTTCTCTGAAATAACGAAATGAGTTTTTAATTTCTTGACCAATCTGGCTGAATCTCCATATCTACTTATAAGAGCTAGTTGTTTATAATTAGTTATTTCCATTGTTTATAATTTCTTGCAGCAAATCTTGCAGTTCTAGAGGTAGGAGTGTACAGCTATCATCTCTATTCTGACATGATTCCTTAAGACAAAGTGAAGTGTCTATGTCGGCTGTGAATTTTGGCAGAGGGTTCAGCTATACCTTCTGATTGAAGAAAAATATGCTTCTGAGGTTATGCAGATCTTCAGTTTAAGTAATGCTGTGATAATGTAGTCATGGAGAAATATTTATTGTTCTCTCTTGTCTTTTTTCCTTTTCTATTTTTGGTTTATTCAATACTTTGATAATTCCTAGAAACAAGGGAGAGTAAAGATGATAATCAGAGAGCACATTTAACTGGTGTATCTTATTTGTGCTTGCCCTTCTTGATTTTTGCTCCTTCAATTTAGCCAACCATCTTTTGACTGCTTTGCGTCAGAAATAAAATGGTTTTGTTCTTGCCTATTGGGTGTTCTCATCTGCATCTTTTGTTCTTGTTTTCAGGGAACACATTAAATTGCAACCACCCTGTGGTCATGGAACTTATACTTGGTAGTTTAAGACATTGGTACGAGTTTGTGCTTATGGAATTCAAATGGCATCTTCTTTGTTTATAAGTTTCTGTTCTATGAGAACTCTGGATGTGCAAGTTGTTTTCTGATAAATCTAAGTTGTATTGTACAACATTTCCTAAAGTTCATGCAGTGATGTGATAAATTGTCCGATGGAATATAGTGTTATTAAACTATGTTATTGCTACTTGATTTCAACCTCAATTATATTTGAAGTTGTGGTTTAGACTATTTCATAAACTTGGAATGCACATCTTGTTGTGAGATGTCATGAGATATTTTCATCCTGTCATTTAGTGCAAATTAAAAATTGCTTGCATGGGGAAACATGGTTGTTTGGAAGCCATCATATTTCGGTATTCAGCTCAGCTTCAGGGCTCATGGGGTTGATTGGTTAGCAATATTCTTTCTCATGCTTTTAGGTGTGATTGCAATGTTTTCTGAGATTTCTGGATTGCAGTTTTTCTCCTTCTCATATATTATTTTATAACTTTTATATTGCTTTCTTGGTCGTGTCCTTTTAAAAGTTGCTAATTTTCTACACCATTAGGAAACCTATACCTTTTTTTGTTTTATTTTGGATGTTCATATCATTTAAGGCCAAGCTCTCTCTCTCTCTCTCTCATTCTCTCATTTTAATCTTGAAACTTATGTACCTCCTGGGGTGGTAACCATTAATAGGGTCACAGAGTACCATGTGGATGGATTTCGTTTTGATCTTGCAAGTGTTCTTTGTCGAGGAATGGATGGATCTCCACTCAATGCTCCCCCAATTATTAAGGTATTTTTACATTTTTCATCATTTACGAACCAAATACAAGATTTTCTCTTTGAAAATTATGTTTTTATCAGTAATACAGAATGTAATAATAGATGTAAAAAGAGCTTCACTTGTCTCCTTACATAGAATGAGGAAAGCTAGAAAAATGTACCTTCAGCAATTCTCAGATCCCTCTTTCATGTGTCCAGTGACAAGTTGCATGTCCCTGTCAACTTCCATTTGATGGACACTTAGATGTAACATCTTCCTTCTTTTTCCTTGCTTATTTGACATAAATAAACAGCTGATGTGCATGATGAATGCCATTAACTGGGTTAGACTCTTGGGCACATGTTGGGTTCATAGTTTTCAAAGCGCCAAGGCGAGGCTAGGCGACAGGGGGGCACCTAGGTGATGGATTTTTTTTTTTTAAGTAAAAACATGTATCCTAGGGTAGTTCCCTAGGTTTCATAATCATATTTCCTTAATAAATATCCATATTTTTCATAAGAAAAGTATAAACTTCATGTTAAAGTATAGAAAATCAACATATTCCAACATATTCATGAGAAGAAAAAGAAGAAAGAAAATAAAATTCGAAAAATATAGGGGCCGAATCCCTGTTTCTGTTATAGGAAAAGAAGGAAAGAAAAGGTGGAAGAAGAAGAAGAAGAAATTGGTATATAAAAACACAAAATTAGTAAAGAAAAAAAAGAAAATGTGTTGATTGGACAACATTTTATGTTCTTTCTTACTTATTGGTTCAAGTTTTGAAGTCTTTGAGGGTTCAATACAGCATTTAGCAATGTTTGTGYTGATTAAACCCTAACAAATAAGAAAATAACAAAAAGAAATTAGTATATAAACACACAAAATGAACAATTTAGTTTAAAAATGTCTGTTTTATAATTATAACCTCAAAAAATTAAGAATATAAAAGTTTGTTATAACACGCTATAGAAAACTACTTGGCGATTAGGCGAGGTGAGACTCCAAGGGTGCCTTGTCGCCTAGGCATCACCTTGACAACTATGGTTGGGTTTTGATCCTTGTGCCTGTGTCCATGCAACACTTCCTAAAAGTTGATCCATTTACATTATCCAATCCAGAAATGACTAAATCCAGACAAAGGTACTATAGGTCAACATTTCTGTTTGAAATGGTAGAAAACTGATTTGCTTCATTCCATTGCCAATCGGCATATTTATACAGTAAGCTACTGCAATAAATAGAAAAAAAACTTTCTAAATCAATCCCTATAATTAAGGGACTAACCTTTTTAATCCCCATATTTAAGGGATTATATTTTTCCACAATCCTAGGAATACATATTCACATAATTCTATTTTTTACACAATTACCAAATATAAATGCTAACTACATATACATCTACACCAGTAATCCCACGTTTTCCAACAATTTCCTTGCTTTAAAAAATCCCTTGGTTCTTTTCTTTCCAATCCTCCAAAATGCTATTGGAGAAGATGACACTCTACCATAGCATTGCCTTGTGACAGCCTATGACACTAGAGATGGAAACAAGCATGGATGAGGGAAACAAGGATATGACTCTATTTCTTGAGATCCAGGACTTGGATATGTGTACATGTATCCCATTTAATATGGTGATTGATACCTGTCATCCTATGGGGATCAGAGCTCCATTTGGTCTCTGGTCTGAACTCTCAAACCTGTAAATCCTGAAAGAAGAGAAAGAACAAGTCATGCGTCCATCACTCCATGGAGCCATTTCCTATGAAAGGAGAAAAATATGATCAATTACCAAAGTGCCCTTAAAGGCCTACTCATAGAGAATAAAACAAAAGGATTATACACAAAAATGATACATCAGCCCTAAACTAGTACAATAGACCCTACTATATACAAGTCATGCATCCATCTGTTCACAATACAATGCCTTTTAATTTAGTTTTAAGCTAAATATAATTCATCAGTGCTTACATTTTATAAACTTCAAACTTCTAATGCCTACAACTTTTCCATAGTATGGTTTATTAAAACATAACACTTATATTCTTACTATCTACTCTAGAAGTGTCCATGCAGTATCCCTTATCCCATTGGGTACATAACTTGTCTGATATAGGTAGGTGAAGCATGGACAGATAACTGGGTATCATAGGTTTGCCACTTTGAGAAGATCTCATAGGATATCTCCCAATATCTTTAATACTTGTATAAATCAGTTCATTCTCAACAATTTAAAGAAGGATGTTTATAAGTGCAAAGGCATCCTACAATCAATGAAAAGTTGTCTACAATTTTCCTGTTTTATCATAGATGATATGGTTTTCCATCATGAAACTCCTTTCCATTCTGGTGGTCAGTGGTTGGTTTGCTATCCATATGTTGTGAAAAACTCCGAAATACAGATTTGTGTAGCACACAAAACGAAGTGAAAATAGAGATAAAGAGAAGTGAAAGAACAGATAACACACAAATTTACGTGGTTTGGCTTATAGCCTACGCCCATGGGCAAAGGAGGAGCAGAAATCCACTATAGAATCAACAATGGTGAAGAATACAGAGTTGTGCACAACCTTTCTTATAGAAAACCCTAAACCCCAAATACACCCCAAGATACATACAAGAGAAAACTCCCAAACTAAATAACTCTTATATTTGAGTCAGATCCATAAGCTGAATATGAATTGGGTTCTACAAGTTTCTTGATCATCTCCTTCACAAAGTGAGTGCAAGATGAAAGTGATAAAGAACAGTATTGTGAAATGCAGTATGTACAAGGATTGTAAGATTGAATATGAAGAACAACAATAAATATCAAGAGCAAAGACAAGAGCAATAGAAAACACATAGAATTTATAGAGGTTTGGCCAAACCCAGCCTACATCCTCTCCTCAGGTAACTCCCTGAGAATTTCACTATACTAGCTAGATTTCCGAGTGCCAGCAAAACCTTTACACCAGTTGGACTTCTAGGTGCCAACAAGACTTTTACAATCACCAAATAGCTTTCCAGGTGCTATTCGAATCTTTCAGTGTTCTATCCCAGAACACTCAACTAACCTAGCTAGAAATCCATTAGCTGATTAACTACAATAGGTAAAATGTATGAAATAACAAATAACAATCAAGATAATGCCTTTATAAGGTTGATGTGCAATTACAAAACAAACTATTCAGATGTAAGAGAATGCATAACAATATATGGGTTGCAACACTTGAAAAGATTCATGTTTCTCAGTGACAATTAATTAAGCTCCAATGGCTTCTTAGCTTTTCTCACAAAGATGAAACTCTTTTAGCACAAAGTTTCTTTACACTCTTTTTCTCTTTTGATTTTTCTCTCTTTTTCACTTAGAACTTTTTGTTCAAGTCACTTTCCACATTTTTCATCTCGAATTCATGCATAAATAGCATGAGTCAATGGTAGAACATTTATGGCCATTATTGATCCRGTGGGAGAGGATAAAACCACTCTAGGAAACATTTAGGGCTTGTTCCCAATAAGGTTGAAGGCTTACCAAAAGAGGAAAGAGCTGTTGAACTTTCAAACGATAAAAAATCTAGCTTAGCATCGCAAAGTAGTTGACTATGATGACCAAGTAGTCAATTGCATCAATCTGTTAGAGAGCTAGTAGTCGAYTACTATGTGCAAGAAGGAATCTTTCTTCTCTTATAGTAGGCTACTACCTTTTGATAGTTGACTACTAGATAATCCCAATCTTGGCGGTCACAACTAGCTGACTACTACCTTTCTGGTAGTTGACTACTAGGTGACACCAGGCTCGACTGTCACAACTAGTTGACTACTACCACTTGGGTAGTTGACTACTAGGTACAACCCAATCTGATCACTCAAGTAGTCAACTCCTTGGGCTTCCAAACTTAAGAGTTTTCATGATCTTATCCACGATAGAGTCTGAAAAAATAAAAAAACCTAAGAACTCTTAACCATTAGTCTCTAAGGTTGTGGTAGAACGAAGGTAGGTTTGAGTTTAGCCCATAGTAGTGCATCTTGCAGATTGATTACATCAAGTCCTAATAAATGTAATAATCTTGTAAGCTCTAGAACTTGACATCTTGTTCATGAGAGTAGGCTTCCATTTCCTTGGATAAGCTTCAGTGCATTTGATGAATTAGTTGGTATCTCTGCAAACTTATCTTTCAAATCATTGGCAGTCTTAATGAGTTTGTTATCATTAAAACACTTAGGTTCAACAATTACTTAGAAAAAGAGAGAGCAAACATTATAACAGCCCAACCACACCACCAACTCCACCTAAYCAATCCCTTAGACCAACATTAGCAAACTTTCAAAAGGCTTGAATCACAACCATACACTTAGGACCCTACAAAAATAGATGAATGATGAAAATGGAAACAAGCATTCTTTTCATGTCCAAAGATGTTAGGGATTGGATGGTTCTTCCTTTCTTTCTCCATCTACATCTAGACAAGATATCTCCACTTTGGTATTGGACAAAGGCTTGTGGATCCTTCTTGCATCTACAATGCAATCTACTTCCTTCAAGATGATATACCTCTCCCCTATCTTCTTTCACTACATCCAACTTTGATGACTAGTTGAATCCAGATAATGGTTCCCCAAGTTCTAATTTCCCTTTGTCAAATTATCTTCATCACAGCTTTATTCTAATGTGATGGACTAGATGATTGAAAAATATATATTTTTTAAATATGTTATTGTTAGAATGCTCGAGTCAGGGGTATTTTGGTCATTCTGGTGTATCTTATTGAAAGTGAAATGTCTATTGTATCTGAGTTTAAGTTATGTGTCCCATCTTCTATGAGGGACAAAATTGTCTTTCTTGTAACTCAAGTTTTCATGAATAAAAGTTAAGTGGGTCGGCTAGGAGAGGTACTTTTGTACATCCTCTCTTCTGGTTTGGCCGAATACTTTTCTCCTCTCTTTCTTCTTCTTCTTTCTCTTTTCTTTCTTCTTCTTCTTCTCTACTTTGACCTAGAAACAACTAGGGTTTATTCACAGTTATCTAATCAAGGTGTGAAATCAATAGA